TTTTAAATAAGGGATTAACTGAAAACCGCTGTTCACGAGCCCCCTCCAAACGATTACCGCTCGAGACCTTGATTTGATAAAGTTTGTTGTTAACTGATAGATTGAAGAATATCATTTCACGAGTTATGCATTCGACTATTTTAATTTTTGAATGTAATCATTGCAATCCTTGGTAGTGCAATTGTACTCCAATTTTTCTTTCGAAGTGAATGCCATCGCGGAACGCCTTCACATGCTAGCCAAACATACCCTATCCGCTTCGAAAGGCGTGTCGAAACAGGAATCACCTATAGACCTATGGACTACAGTTGGAATGCCTAATTATCCTCATTGGCCGATTGAGGTTCAAGTGATTTTTGAAGGGTTCTACGACAGTGAAAAAGAAATGGACTGGATTACAGTGGATGTGAGTTGTATGCTCTTCTGGCGAGTTTGCACTACCGACTCGATTTCTTTCTTGAATTCCGAAACGAAACCAACGGTTTATCCTCTTTCTTCGAATTTGAGATGCACCCATCAAATATCCGAATTTCAACTTTGATGGAAGCCGTTTTTGCCGTTCTTTCTTTCTAGTTGTCTGTTTCTTCATTGTGATATTCACGTGAGTATGTTTACCGAGTGATTCAGAAAAGTGCACCGGAGTGACTTAGTTCATTATCTTTTGCATTTGCATGCGATGATTTCCTAGGAAGTAGCATTGCGGTCTATTGTTGAACCTTGGAGGTTGATTTGTTTTCCAAATTTTGTGTGCATGATTATCAAATAAGCAACAAAGAGCTCTGAACAGCTATTTCATCTTTGTTGGGACTCATCAACAGTGCGCACTGTGTTTGTGTCCCTGTTGAGCTGAGGGTTCGACTACCGACACGAAAGTTCAATGTTCGAGTCGGGGTGGGGTGGAGGATCTCTGGCTGGTACAAGTTGTTTACGATGTAACGTCAGTGTTTATTCTTCATATCTATACACATCTACAGTTATATGGATAAAGCAGATTCTATCTTGCTTGTTGATCACTCCCGACGGACCGCTTCACTGAATTTAGTTTTTCGATATGAAGGAGATTCTACTTTGGTGCTGCTCATTTTCTCAGTACGTACACGTAAGAAATCCATATCAGAGAAACGAGTATCGATTCATTACATTCACAAGACGTTCGTGTATTGTCTTGTTGTTCGTCCGGATATGGATCATTCAGCTAAATTATGCAGGACAGGTAAAAAAGTTGGACTTTGTTATAAATTAGGAGCTATTGGATGATGCTGTATGATTGGGTTAATGGTTGAGAATTAACAAACATTTTTGTCAAGATGACAAACTTTTCTGATCCAAGTGTCCATAAGACGAAAAAAAACTGTGATGTATTGTCATAGAAACCAGAAAAACCGCATCACGTATTATGGGATGGATGCATCGAACGGTAAAGTAGGAACTTGCTTGAAAGATTGTATATTTTCCAGTGGAGTTCAAACCTGGGCATGGATGTCGCTTGGGGCTTTGTGTTATTGAAAATATGTATGATGATAACTGGTTTTCAGGCAGCGGGAAGCGGTCACTCAAAGAGCTGCCACACATTCTGTCTGATAGACGGTTCATCGTCCACATTTTTGACATATTTTTTCTTTACACAACAGTAAATGCAGTGGAAGAAGTAAAGCCTGCGATCTGAGGATCAGTTAGAAAGGCGTGGGAAGGGAACACTCAAGCTGGAATCAGCTTGCTAATTTTATCTTTAAAGGTGGGCTGCTATGTGCTAGATGGACCGCGAATAGACTCAGTGTTCCACAAAAACGAAAGAGTTTTCAAATATCGGATAGTTTGAAGAACTCCATGGAATGTACAATACTGATCGAGGGGTAAATGAATTACCTAGGGTTGTTAAGATATCCGAAGCTTGATTTAATCAATGATTGGCCTGTTTCATTTGTACGCAAATGGGAGTTTCCGCGTAAGTAAAAATGTGAGTGCAAACGAGTCATTGCACTAACACTCCGTGTGAGTGTAGACTACCAAATTAGTATTGAAGGAAGATGTTCGAATAGAACGTCATTGAAGCCATAGTGAAAAGCCTTCGGAACGAAGGATTACATAGTGAGTGTTATCTGCGTTTCTGTAGCGGGACCTGCTCCATGTTCAGGAGAGGACGAAGATAAACCTACCAACTTTTATGTTGTCCTGCTTCTAGGGCTTGAATATTTCCTCATGTAAGCGTATGGAGTTAGTCGAGGTATTCGAGTGCTGCTTATGGAATCTTCTTCGCTCATTATTTATGCGAAAAGCTGCCGAACTGCAGGTTCTGTTTCTTTCTTTTGTCTCCCTGATTTATTATTCACTGGAAATTGTTTTAAACAGGGGGTTGTTACCTCTTGTAAAGCTCTAGTTGAAAATTAAATTCACTGCTAAGATCAAACTACAAGGTCGCTATTACAAGTGGCTTTTATGAGCAATGATTCTATTTTTAAACGGGTATTAAGTTTACCTTTTATGTGAGAGATCGATTTCCGCGACCAGAATGCAGTGATTTTACACAGGACAAGATGTTTTGCTGTTTGGTAATAAGTTAGAGAAACGCTTTAACTTTACTGGTAGGGATATTAACAAGAGCGGCCAGTCGACCGACCTCTACTAGTATTTGTCATCAGCAAACACAATTTGTTATCAGAAGTGTTAAATACGAGCAGAATGAGCACACAATTAACTTCAAAGTAAGAGAGTTGTGCTGGATTTGTTAACCCCGGGAGTTAGTTATCCCATGTCTTGGATTACCATCATTGCTTTTGAGAGAAAAGCCCTTGCGAATTCGCGATGGCATGCAACTTTGTCTGAATTTATCTTCGGCAGGTTTATTGGATAAATACTGTAATGTATATCTCTTAACGAGGTCACTTTAAGCGTAATCTGTTCGTCCTTATCTTCCCCCCTCCTGAATCCTCACAATAGGCATCCGTCAACTTGATCTTTCGCTTTGGCTGGTCTTGGCGTCACAAAGCCTGTCCGTCCGATACATTAATCTCTCCGCACCAAACCTCCGTCCCATTAGTCTGTCATCATCCTTCTCGTGGACCTGATCATTCTTCCTCCGCAGTTTCCAGCGCTTTGAGCGATTGTAGATTCTGTCCGCTGGATGTGATCGAGCAAGCCAAATGGATAACTTCTGGTAGCCGTTTGAGCAGTGGTCAGTTGGAGCTTAGAGTCACCTCCGTAGAACGTCGATGTCCAAAGCGTCGGGATACCATTCGCACTTCTAATCCGTCGAATAGTGGCTTTGCAAGCACCAACTCCACAACTGATCGTGATCACCTAATGTCGGATAGTACTATGTCGAAAAACAAACAAGGGCTTAGTGGTGCTTCTTATCCAGTGCACTATATGACTGCTCCGCTACCGCTGTTCTACCCACCAGCAATTTCAGGTACGCTTTATCTCGCCTGTTATACATTGTACTATTTACTGTCTCGGTGATAACCCACGGGGGAAAATCTATTGTTAACTAGTTTTTTTCATGCTGGTTCACTTTTAATCTGATTACTGGAGTCATTTTTTTTCTCATCATGTGTATATTTTCCAAAATCTGAGGGAGGGACAACTTCACAAGTATCGGAATGCCATGGTTTTGATTATATACCTTACAGATTTGATATACTCCCTTTTTACTTAGTTGATTATCTTCTGGAGGATGCAACGGCTTCATGGATGCCGTATTTAGTTGTTTTGGAAAAAGGATACGAAACGGTGTCCCCAGTACTGCTGGCTTGTTTTACCAGACGCTTGTTCAATCCGGAGTAACCGATGGAATAAATCAGCGTTTCTCTTAAAAGTTACATTCTTGTCCTTTGTACATGAAAGCGCAGAAAATAAAGCAGCAGGGTGATCCCAGGTAGGCCGGCTGTCCATTATGTTGTTAGATCTTCTTTTCCCGAAAACTTTCTCGGATAGATTTGGCACATCAGGAGCAGTGGCCTTGGGGATAAACCGCGGTCGCAGCTACACGGTGCGATCCATGGGCACATGTGGAATTTTATGCTATAGAATGCCAGACAAATACTACTCTACCGCTTCCTTGATTGCTGCCGCTGATCACCCCCTTCTCTTATCCAAATGGGCGGCCAAAAGACAGCAATCAAAAACGGTGCACGAAAGTGCATGGTTAATGACTGTAAAAACTGTAACTGAATTTCATTCATCTTGAAGGTGAAAATTCCTAGGAACAGAAACTCGCCAACTTTGTTCATTATATCTCCGGGCAACACAAGGTCTGTGAGTGTATTGAGCTAATACGCTCTAAGCATGCCTATACTACCAGTGTCGCGAGGTCCTACTCACAATTGTGAGTAGTTTGCACGCACCACGGAATTTGCGAATGGATCAAAGGATCTACTTTTGCAACTAAAGAAAACACAAACTGTCAGACTGGCGATCACCAATGGAAGAACGATTGCGGAAATGCAAACCAAATATTGCTAATTAGATGTTTCGTTCTATGTAACCTTATGTACCTCTATCGGACACTGCTCTTCAAATAACTATCCTCGTCCCGATGCCTTCTTGTGGATATATGACATTTGTTCAGTGTCCTAGAAAAACTTGCAAATTCCTGGTAACCCTATTGGTGTTAGTGTTGTTTGTAGACGTTTCGTGGCCAAACTAGGCAAAGTCATCAGTGCAACGTAGGAGATGATGTCACCTAACCGGGCTACGAAACGTCTACGAACAACACTTCAGGTTCGGATGAAACACCAGCATCCGCATTCCGAGCTACAGTCGTTTCACATTATATCCTGGTTACCTTACTGTACACTGTCTCCGTACTCTAGAAGGAACACTGCCGATTTAACACGAAAATAACATTGTATTTGAAATAGGCATTCCAAATTAACATTAATTATGTAAAAATTCAACTCCCGATAATTTTAGTTTCAGTGATGACTACTAGTAAAAGTTAAGGTTGGTCCGCACTTATTCCTGTACGGTGAACATGTGTTATCATTAATTTTGTCGGACAACCTTCAATTGGAGACAGGCTTGGTAGTGTTAATCTAGCGGTTTATGTCGCTGGCACTGGTAAGCTTTAGGCCCTAGGGTTCTCGGTTCGGATCTCGCCACGCTACAAAAACTTTGGTGGCAGGATTCTTCGCCGTTGTCCAACACAATAGCACACCTAAACTAGTGGGGCCTTGTGTGGTTTGCCATTTCATGTCCCTGAACTCAGATTGCCGGTTCCCACGAGTGAACAGTAGATCCTCGTGATCATGGAATTTACGTCTTAATCGAACAATAGTGTGTAATGACATAATGCCTAAGGAATGCTTCGACTGAATTCTATTTCACCTGTTCGCCGAGCTCGACTGACTGACTCAATCGTATAACCCCTTACTGCAATTAGTCATCTTTGCCACAAATGCATTCTGCTAATGAGCATGGTTATATAGGAGGAAGCCACAAAATAGAGATCTTAAAGGTGTTCAGAGTTCTAGTTTGAAAAATGTCGGAAGGCCTGTCAGAAGTCTAAGCCAGCGCAATCGAATGGTTTACACTAGTACACAACTTTGAGGGTTGTGGAACAGTAGCCAATAGGAGGAACGAAAGTCCTTGAATGTGGACCACCCCTGGTCACATGAACACCAAGACGAACAGATCTGCATGTTATCAACCCCGTCTCTGGGTCATGAATAAGAGAATACTTTCGTTAAGTTTTAACTGCGAATGAATTGTGATGTTTATAGTTCTGTATTACAGTTAGGTGAATCGTTAATATAATCACCACAAGTAGAAACAAAACACGAAGTGGTGGTGACAGCGTTTCAACCTTCTTGCAAAGTCTTTACAGGTCAATTGGCTTGTGGCTCACTGCAACCAATGAGCTTCTGACGCATGGTAAACTAGAACTGATCTCCCAAAGTAAAATTACTCTCTCGGGTGTCGGAAAAATATTCACGAAGTCCGTTGTATGTCATATTTAGGTATGCTGCACCTTGTTCTTTCACATTTGATGTTTTTTTTAGATATTTTTATTGTTTTTCCTTTTTGTTTGCTGTCTATGGAAGTGTACAATAAACTTTCAGGAAGGGGTTCACTGCCATCCAAAAGCTACCTAGGTAAATACCTATCATGTGAGGATGAGCGGTGGTGGCGGGGTTCCGAACTCAGGATATCCAAGTGGTTAGTTTGACGACCTTTCCACTCGACCACCGCCGCCCAAGAGCCGAAAGCTACGTAAGCTCTCAATCAAAGCTTACATGCATGAAAACAGCCCACAAAAAGCATGACTGTGTCCCGAGATCTGACAAAGAATATCTAGTAAATACAAAGTTAACTTCAGCTTGGTTCTTACTCATAAGCTGATTAGTTATCGGCCTCCCATTTTTGAATTTATGGTATGCAGCGCTGACCAGTAGGATTTATCATGAAAGGTACCGTGTAGTAATTTGCCTTCATAGCTAACCCTTATCCATCTTTAGATACCTGGTCACCTTAAAATAAGAGATTTCGGTAACTCCAACATCAGTTCAACTTCAATCTATTTGCGATTCATCAAGATGAGAGCTGTCCTGGGGACAGTAATTAATAAAACATGGAGTTTTAGTGCAGCTGTCCCTCACATATCATGCAAAGTAGTGACCTGCTATTAATTATATTATTTATTCTATATTTTAAAACCTAGTTAATCCTACACCCTTACAAACTGATTTACCGCCATCTTAATTTATTTGACTGGCTATCCTTCGAACTTCACCGTCACGCACAATCCTCAGTTCATCAATTCAACCATACACTCGGAAATACTAGACTCAAGTTTCACTCTTATTAGAGATCATCAGTAGTGCATATCCACCGTCACCGCCATATAGCGAGAAATACAGAATACAAGAATCAAATGAATTGAAATTAGAATAACGTGGTACAGTGAGATCGCTGTGTGATGCGAGTCAACCGTATGTAAGTGTTGCACTAGATTTTTATTTTAGAGCATGAATGCCATCAACACTCTAATGTCTCCAGAATGGGCTCGGCTTCGTTCTCGTCTTCCATGGAGTGCTTTATTCAAAATGCCTACTGGAGAATTCCGTAATGCCACTTTCTGGGGACTCTAACTGAGTTGGGGATCAATAGTTAGTTGGCTCATTTAGGAGAACTGGCAAACCCATATTCCAAACCTTCCAGCTAAACCTGTGCCATTAGACTCCAAGACATATTGGCCCTGATGGTGCCCTGCCTCTTTGGGTTAGGTGGTATGTTGGACAACTTCCTAGGACGCAAAATCCGTTTGGCAGAAATCGCCCCCAAGGGACCAGAGTCTTTACACCGCTCCGTTGCTTTACAGTGCTAGTCAAAGCCAGTTGGTGTTTAGAAACTACAAATTTTTCAGTTAAATCTTGTCTTTGAAACCAGTTCCATAAGTTGAGGATGATCAGCACATCACATTACACAATCTGACCGGTGACCATCGTACAAACTCACGCTGGAGGTCAATGGATTTCGAGAATAATCTGGCATTTCTTTCCTCTCATTTGTGTCCAAAATAGGAATGAAATTGGTGTTACTCAATTCCAATTATTGTTCACACTTCCCATGATAAACCCTATTCCCGAAGCAACTTAGGCTTTGAACCCAACCATGTTGGCCAGGACACTCCTTTATAGAGGTTTTCCAGGCACACAATTGGTTCTGATTTCACCTAACTGTATTTCAGAAGATTTTTCGTTTTTTTGTTGTTTGTCCATTTTTCAGGACACTGAATTTCTTTTTACTCATTTGATATCAGCTCAGAATCGGTGCTGTATATTGCGATAACTGAATTCACATTTCTCCTTCTACAGGTTCCACTCATCAGTTTCAACCATTTCTCCTCACTCCCGGTCTATACGAACTGCGGTTGGGCGTGGACCACGGCCTGTCTTCCTTCTCCCAGACCTCAGACGAGAGGCGGGGCCCCNGTCCCCAATGGATCTGGGATTGAGAACGGGTCACATGAAACAGCGAGTACCACAGACAGTTTAGCTACCAGTACCTCAGATTTTCCACTAGGCACAGCTTGTTCCTCGGACGAGGTGTCTAGCTTGACTAGCCAAGCTAGTGGAGCTACATCTGGCCGGGTCGAGTGGCGTCGCGTTCGTTTTCCACGGGCCTCGGACGCATTGGATGAGTACAATCGTTGGCCTAGCCTCAAATTTCGTGTAGTATGGCATGGGGAAGCTACTCGAAGTGAGCCCAGTGAACCCACAGTCCCAATTCCCATTCGTAATGGACCCTTGATCAACGAAGTCAAAGATAGCCGAGCATCGGTCGTTAAATGTACGTTAGCGCTTCATGATTGAAAAATACTCCCTATCATTAAGGCCTGAGGTAATCATTTGATCTCCATTGGCTCTATAGTCAGTGTATTTTAAACGACTCCCATACAAAAGGAATACTGTATTACTGTATATTTGTTTTACACACGCGATAAACGAATTCGATCGCCACTATTCAACTCCATGCATCAATCCGGTCGACTCGATGTGGAACAAACGCTTAAACAAAGTCACCATATATATATTTGATAATAAGTAGTATGTGGATGACTGGACAAAATTTCCCTGGAAGCGCATGACCAGTGTATATATATATATATATATATATATATATATATATTTTGAAAAGGAGAAG